ACATGATTCTATTTGTCTGTAATTCTTAATTTCTTTCATCAATGTCTTAGTATTGTTAGAAAACAGATTTTTCACCTCCTCAGTTAAAGTCATTCCAAAGTATTTTATATTTGTGATACCTTTGTAAATGGGATCACTTCCTTTTTTAGATACTGTTGTATACAATAGAACTTTATATAGTGAGTTTATATTCTGCCACTTAAATGAATTATCTATTATTAAATATATTTTCCTCACTACATACTTTTTTTTGAATAACTGATCTTTTCGCTTTCTCTTTTACAGTATAAAGAAAAAAGCAGAGCTTGAGGCTGAAATACAATCTTTGATAAGAATGAAGCAAAAACATGAGAATTACCTTAAATATATATACAAGGAAGGTTATCACATCGGTGCTATTTATCACCTAATCAGATTTAAAACAGAGGAAATAGAAGAGCAAATAGCTGAAGTGAGGAGACGATACAAGGTTTGTATCCCTGTTTCTTAGTTATTAAAAGGTTAATTAACCTGCATTTTATTGATTTAATAATGATAGTTGGATTTTATTGTATCTTATCATTTTTTGAAACGTCTAAAACTTCACATACTGAATTGTTACCTACTGGTAAATGACTGAGATATGGAGTACTGTGTCAGTGGACCTTAAGAATATCTTTAATTATTTTAAATTAAGCTACTTTATTTTTCATATAAATATATTCCGCCCCCCCCTGCCCCCTATCGTCCCTCTGTACCCTTGTTACTTTCCTTCTCCTTCCCTCCCTTTCTTAACTTGTATATTGATGTCCACTGTGTGAGTCACCCTGGTGGCTCCTGCTATCTGTGAAGGACTTGGGGCTGGAGGCTGAGCAGTATCAACCTGGGCTACTCATAGCAGCTGACTTCGAAGGCCAATTCCTGAGCAGCTGGGCTTGGGGTTTAGGGGGGGGAAAAAAGCTGCGGTTTAGGAGAAGTGCAGGTCAGGTTGGACACCAGACACGGCAGGGCTTACCTGCCCAGCTCCTCCGCGAGCCCTCTCAAGGTCGGCTGGACTCTCTACCAGGGTTGGCTTGAACCCCGAGCTGGTTTTGAAAACAGACCGTGCACGAGCATCCACTGGCATGGTGAGGTTCAGGCTTGCAGAGGCACCAATTAAGTCTCAGAAACAGCTGATGCGAAACAGATGGATTAGGGCTGAAAGGTGGGTACTGTGACGGGGCCTGTGGGAGCAGGACCACAGGGGGTCGAGAAGGAGACTCCATTCAGCTTGGAAGCAGCTTCGGAGAAAGACCTTGGTTTCAGGAGGAACTTGGCCTCACGAGACAGACCGGCCCAGGGGAGGACAAAGCTGCCTCCCAAGTCCTGGGACTCGAATTTCCCGGAGACTACTGACGCGGCTTCCGGAGGCGACAGACTCGGCTTCCGAGTCGCGACGCTGCGGCTCTGTCGCCTCCACACAGCCACAGTGGTTGCCCAAAAGGCTGCAGGCTAGTTGCTCCTGGTTTGCGGTTCCAGCCTTCGCCCAAGGGACAACTCCGTCTGGCAACAACCAGCAGCTTTTAGTTTGGATTCCTGAACACCTCTGGGGTAGGATGCCAGCCATTTGGGAGGTAAAAACATTTTATTTCCCTCCTCCGCCCCATTCACCTCTAGTGTAAAAAACAACAAACCAACAAACAGAAAACATCCCTTGTTGCACCTTGAGATTGAGCCATGGTTTACAATTGTAAGCACCAGGCGAGAACCTACAAACTGTGATTCTCCATCCTCTGCTCTCATTTACACTAGTTTTTGTGTTTAACTTGACTGAATTGTCCTCTCTGTAAGTGTCCAGTGTTTGTTTTTATCGTTCTGACTTGCTCTACTGTACATACTTCTCTCAAATTCCCGCCATCTTGTTGAAAATGACCACATTTTATCTTTCATTTCTGCTGAGTAGTATTCCATAGTGTGGATATATTACTTCTTCATCCAATCATCTATTGATGGATATTTTTAGACTGTTTGCATGTCCTAGTTATTGCAAATAATGCTATGAACATTGTAGAATTTATGGGGTATTTTTACATTAATAGTTTTAGATTCTTTGGATAGATGCCCAAGAGCAAGATTGCTAGGTCATAAGGATGTCCTTTTTAATTTTTTAAAGAAAATCCAGATTGCTTTTCATATTTATACCTGTTTTCATTTCCACCAACAGTGTAAAGGGGTTCCGATTTTTTCTACAGTTTCTCCAACAATTGTTCTTTGGAGGTATTTTTTAATATGTGCTGTTCCCAGGGTTGTGAGATTGTATTTCATTGTGATTTTTAATCTGCATCTCTCTTAATGGACGAAATTACGTACATTTTTTTTTCATATGGCCATTTGCCTTCTCGATAACATACTTGGTGAATTGTTTTATATCTACTGTCCATTTATTAACTTGTTTATTTTTTATTTTTGAATTATGTGACTTTTCATATATGTTTCATATTAATCCTTTATCAGTTATAGTGTAAATATTTTCTGTCATTATGGTATTTTTTTTTTAAGATTTATTTATTTATTCATACAGAACTGGGGTACAGGCCAGGGATGCGGAGGGTGAGAGGCTTCACCAGAGACAGAGTGGGGAGCAGAGCAGGCAGATCCACGAAGTACACTGCTGAGGGGAGCAGCGGGCGGGTCAGGAGAGGTCTGCCACGCCATGTGGTCACCTCCGGGAATCGAGCTCATGCGGAAGCGGCTTCAGATTCTCAGTGCTGTGCTTTAACCCGCTGCGCCACCAGGGAGGGCCCATTATGGTATTTTTTTTTAATCTTGTATTTTTTTCTTTATAAAAAGGCCTTTTAACTCGAAGTAATTCCGATTACTTAGTTTTATTTTTATTTCCCTTTCCATAGAAAATGAGCCATAAAATCACTTATATTGTTGATATCATGGAATGTCTTACCATTTTTTATCACTGCAGGCCTTATGTCTAAAACTCCATTTGGAGCTTATTTTTGTGCATGAAATTAGTGAGTGATTATATTATATGTGGCTTTCCCATTTTCATAGTATCATTTATTAAATGGACTACCCTTTCCTCATTGTAGGGTCATAGAAGTTTTGTCATATATAGATTAGGTTATGAAACATATGTAGGTTTATTTTGGGCTTTCAGTTCTATTCCATTGATCTACCTGTCTGTTTTTGTGTCAATACTGTATTGCTTTTAGTACTGTTGCTTTATAGTATAGTTTGAAAATGATTACTGATATCTTTATGAGGCTTGTGTAAATTTATGTATCATCTTGATAGGTTAATATTTTGATAATATATACTTACTCTTCCCATGAGTATGGATTTCTTTCCATCTCCTTATGTGTTACTATCTAAATCCTTAAATAACCCTTAAATAACATCTTGCATTTGTATAGTCTCATCTAATGAATTATGTTAATTCTGAGGTATTTATTCTTTTAAAGCAATTACAAATGGAATAATTTTCTTAATATATTTTGCTTCGTATATGTTGTTTATCTATTAAAAGAGCCATACAAAAAGTCTTTTTATATGTTGAAGTTATCTGCCACTTTGCTATAGTCATTTGTTGTTCCCAACATCATATCATCTGCAAACAGTGAGAGTTTTACTTCTTTTCTGATTTGCATTTCCTTTATATTCTGTTTTTGTCAAGTAGCTTTGACCAAAACCTCACTAAATTAAGGAGAAGTGATGAAGATGAATATTCTTGTTCTGTTTCTTCCTGGATTAGTCTTAGTCGAATATAAGGATGTAGATATGTGTCCATTTCTTCAAGGTTATCAAATTTATTGGTATCTAATTGTTCATAATATATTCCTTTGCATTTATGTGTAATCTGTAGTGATTTATATCATTTATGATTTTTCTAAATGTTTTCTACCATCCTTTCTTTATAGTTTTAAAGGTAGAGTTTTGTAAATTTTGTTTATCTTTTCAAAGAACACACTCTTTTCTTTGATTTTTATGGTCTATTTCATTTATTTGTGCTCGTATATTTTATTTCTTCCTTCTATAACTTTGTCTTGTCCTTTTTATCAAATTGCTTTAGTTAATAATATTTATAACTATTTATATTTTTATTTCACATTTTTCTCCTGACAGTGGGGTCTGTATTGCAATTGGCATCCCTCTTTAGACCACTTTTGCTTTTACCCCACAGAGCTGGTTGCTCAGATCCTCATTTTCATTCTCCTCAGGTATTTTTTTTTATTTCTTCTTTAATTTCCTGTTTTTTCCCCCAATGATTAATAACCACTGCATTGTTTACAGATATTTATAGTTTTCCTTTTTTCTTATACTTGATTGCTAACTTTATAGCATTGTGGTGATAGTGAGACAGAATACTTGATATTATTTGCATCTTTGTAGTGTTATTTCTTTTTGATAAAATCATTGCTGATAAATCAGAAGGAAATTACTTTTCTTCAGAGGCCAAAGCTGAATAGATGAAGAATGGCAATCAATGTTCCTACTGAACACTTATGCTTACTTTTTGCTATTACCCCCATAAACTACCTGAATTACCAGAAAACCAGTATTCTGTTCAGTCTCATAATACAAATTAATGAATAATAGTTCCTCTCTATAGCAGTAAGTGTGGTTGCTGGGACATGCCCTTGAATGTCATTCAGTGTAAGTAAAGGGAATTCCTACTGTACTCACGTCTGCAACTTGTTGGATTCCAGAAGACTAATCAACTAGAATTCCACAATGCTGCAAAAACAAATGTTGATAAGCTTCAAATCTCTTCATAAGTGACAGATGCCATATGACATACAAACTTGCAAAGTCAACTTCTTACTTGAGGGGGTCTCTATACAAGGCTTGATATTATATCCTGGGTTTTTAGTAGAGCGCGATAAAGTAATTCCAGAATTGACTTCAGCAGCTTGATTTTTTTCAAAGCATGATATAGGTAGGCCTATTGTTTATTCATATATATTTAATGTAACATATTTCAGAACTAAGTAAAAGCCTTTCTGATAAATTTGTATTCCTTCTCTTATTAATAAGTTGGCAGTTTTGAAACTTCTCTTAATCAGCCCGGAAGCTCAGTTAATTTCTGCAATATATTTCTAGCATGATCATACTACCATATACCACTCTATCTATGCTCTATGTGTATATATCGTTGATCATTTTTTACTTTATTTTTATAAACCTCATGTATACTGCCATCCTAAGAAAACAGCCTCCTACTCAGTTTTTATCACTGACATTAAAAATAAAATGTATTGGGGCCCTCCCTGGTGGCGCAGCGGGTTAAAGCACAGCACTGAGAATCTAAAGCCGCTTCCGCATGAGTTTGATTCCCGCCTGCCCTGGAGGTGACCACATGGCATGGCAGACCTCTCCTGACCCACCTGCCGCTCCCCTCAGCAAGTGTACTTTGTCTATCTGCCTGTTCTGCTCCCTACTCTGTCTCTGAAGCCTCTCACCGCCCCTGAGCCTCTGGCCTGCACCCCAGTTCTGTAT